CATTCCTTTTGCTTCCATCCAGTGCTTGCTGTGAGATCCTGCTCAGCTGCTACTGCTCCCTGTAAATGCCCCCCCAGCACTGACATTACGGCCACCACAAGCCAAAAGCAGTCCCAGCACCCAGCAGACCCTGCAGTCCTCATGCAATGGACAAGGAATAAACAGAGGTATTAAGAAGTAGCTGATGTGAGTTCAAGGGGAACAACGCTCAGTTTGAGTTGTATCTAATGGAAGCTTATGAAAAATGAAATCCATTTTGCAGTGAAAAGTAGTTACTTCACAGGGAAAAGCAAAAATATTTAGAAATTCTGCCTGCTTTTCTGTTCTTCAGCAGAAATTATTCACCACATCTGACCGAAATGCCTGAGCAGCTCTGACGTCTCGCATTTTTCAGCTGGTTTCCAAAGCTGCTTTGCTGAGCTCGCCCCAATTATGCGCTGCTGCCTGCTGAAACCACCAGGGCAGGGCATCCCTGGTGCTGCCAGCTGCTCCCAAAGTACGTTGGAGCGGTGCTGGCCGTGCTGGGGTTCAGGGCAATTGCCCTGGTTGCTGCAGTCTCATCAGGAGGAGGATAAAAGCAGAGAGAAGAGTAGCTGCACACTGAGCACACCCACACCCCTCTCTCTGTCCTGCAGCCCCTGGCGGGTGCTAGTGAGGATGCTGAACATGCCCCAGCCCCGCCAGCCCTTCCTCCACCTCTATTTGGATGACTTTTTCACCCGTTTAGTTTATGAGGACTCCCCTCCTTCTGCCAACAGTCTGAGTCTCCTCTTGCTGCAGCCTGGGAGGCCTGTCTTTCTCTTTTATAACTATTTTTCTACCTCCCCCTCGCGAGGCCCCAGCTCGGCAGCCCGGCCCCAGGACAGACATGTGAGCTGTGCCTGCATGGAGCACGCCTTTGTTTGTGCACATGGGCACAGGGGTGCAGGTGGGATGTGCAGCCATCCTCCCCAAGCTGCCCTGCAGCGCCCGGCTCACCCCATGGCCATCCCTCAGTCCGGTCCCCAGCACAATTCACACTGGCAGTGTGTACCTGCCCATGCTTGAGATCACCAACGTACCAGGGCTGGCAAACAGCTGCTCACCCAGAGCCAGAAGCAAACGGATGTCACAACTTAATTGTAAGTGTTGTAATCCAACAGCTTGTTCAGCTTTTGAGGATCAGCAGCCTGCAGGGGCCATCTCTCCCTGCAGAAACGTGATGGCTCTGTTCTGCAGGGCAGGTGACAATCCGGTTTGGGGACACTCAGACCTGCCACCTCACACTGTGCTGTCACATCCCACGGCTGTGACATCCGTGTCCTTTGTGCCTCCCCTTCTGTTGAAATGAGCATCAGCATCCCATTCCACTGTGACCCCAGGGGCAGAGCCCCTTCCTCTCCCATGGGCACCCAGTCTTTGTTTCTCTCACTCACAGCCTTCATTGCATGTCTCCTCACACACTGCCAAAGCAGCACCAGCTGGACATATCATCACCAGCTGCACCAACCAGACAGAAAGCTGAGTGTTTTTCTGAGCCTGCTTCTATGTGAGAACTCCCAGCCTGCTGCTGGCTCCTGTAGGATGACAGCAGCCCCAGAGCTCCTGCGTGCTGAGGATTTACAAAGAAATGAGCAACATGGCAAAAATGAGTAAAGCAAAGGGCTTCACAGCTGTTACATTTCTCTTGTTCTTTGCAGCTCTCCATACCATGATCAGCCCAGTTCAACCTAGGGATGCTATTGCATATCCTGTGCAATTCCATTGAGATGGGTCATGGACCACTGAACTGCTGATGAGCAACGTGCCACCGTGGAGCTGTGCGTCAAGATGGCAGCATTCTGAGCCAAAAAACAAAGCAGTATGGAATGTCCTGAATGAAACACTCCTCCCCTCCCCCCCAAAGCAGGGACACCCCCAGTCTTCCCTTTGAAGATGCAGAAAGCGAGGCTAAGCATTCTCAGGCCTGGAACCAGAGGCACCAGCACCCAAAACTTGGCCATGAGCAACTGGAGTGGCCTGGAGAACTGCAAGGCCTTCTGAGCTTCTGCTGCAGCGCATCAGGCAGCTGGAGCACAGGCTGGTGGGGCTGTGTGCTTGGGAAGGGCATGGGGCAAGGGAGAAGAGGAGCAGAATGCCAAATTAGACCAAGGAAAGGCAAGGTGGTGTGATGGAGAGGTATAGAGATGTGATGGAAAGCTGGGGGGATGTGGTAGAGAGCCACCAGGAAGTGCTAAGAGAGCCACAGAGATGTGATAAGAGAACACTGGAGATGTGACAGAGAGCACTGTAACTATGAGACCTCATGTGCTGGGCCCTTGCTCTGCACCCTGGGACTTGGGATCCCCAGGTCACGCAGGTCTGTACCAGCCCTGGCCCCTAAGCTCCCAGAGAAGCCACAGCACAGTTGCTTTTGAATGCAGTGGGTAACAGCAGGGTGATGACAACCTTGGCAGGGGGTTCTTTCTCCTGGTGTCCACGTGCATTTGTTGGCAGTTGGCATCCAGCCCAGCAATTGAGAGCAGCAGCCTGGGGCTGCCCTGGCACCTGGGGCAGAGCGTGCTGCCTGGTGCCTTGCACCACAGAGCCTCGAGGCTGCCATTTGCTCAGGCACTAAAATCCCCTCTGGGAGCCGTCCTCAGCATCACCCCATCCCATCCCCTTGCACCGGCCAGTAGCACTGGTGGGCACCGTCCCTGCTCCCACAGCCAGAGCACACAGCAGAACACTCAGCCTTTGCTTCCAGGCTGGCTTTGTGACCTGGGGCAGCACATCAACTGCTTGCAGATTGCATGACTTGTGCCAGAACCCTCTCCCTATCCAAGGCAAGCAATCCCTCTGCAAGCAAGTCAGTCTTGCTCTGCTCCCTCCAGCACCTTCCTTCTTCTTCAAGCCCAGCAGAGTGGAAGAAAAAACATATATATACCTCTATCTATACATACAAACAAGAAAAAAGGACTCTTTTTCTGCCTCCGTCTCAGACTTTGCACGTGGCGGAGCAGTGGGTGGTGGGGCAGTGGCGCCGGGTGCCGCCGTCCCCTGGCAGCCCCGCTCCCCGTGAGCAGCCGGGCGGCAGCGCGGGCGGTGGGATCGCTGTACTCACCATATGGAGCCTCCATCTTAGCGCTTAGCTGGGTGCTTACATTGACCATGTCTCGCCGGGTACCGCTATGGGGACTCGGGGCAAAAAGCAGAGGAAGTGTAAAAGAAAAAAAAAAAAAAAAGTAAAATAAATAAATGAAAATGTATTTCTAAGGAACTAGGTGAAGGCAGGAGAGAGTGCGGAGAGGCAGGGCGAGAAAACCTGCCTCTCTTGTTATCTTATTGATTCGCTTAATCAGGGCTAATGTGGGTGGAGATGTTAAATAGTAACCAAGCTCTTATGGAAACCAATCTGCAAGGTGCTGTCGCTGTAGCTATAGTAACTGCTGCCAAGCTAGAAACTCAAACATGGCTTTTACTGTACTCTTTCGGGGCTCCTGCTTCCAGCCGCTGCCAAGGCTGGGGCAGCAGAGGCTGAGGTTTGCTGCGGGGAGGACGGGATGAGCTGTGGCATTGCCGAGCCTGGACACAGAGAGGTTTGTGGTCACTGAATGCGATGGAGAAGAAAGGCAGGCAAGGGTGAAACCACGTGGCCCCAGGCTGGGGATGAGCTGAGCTGGTCTGGTGCGTGCTGGGGTACAGCCCAGGCAAGGCACAGGGCTTGTCCTCTCCGTGCAAAACCAGGGGGTCACTTAGGGATGGGGAGCAGTGGGATGCAGGGTCGTACTCAGAGCACAAGCCTGGTGTGGGACTTTTGCAGCTCCCTCCCCATCTCCACTCCCTGAACTCTTCCCTCTGCACTCTCTGTTTCTGATGGTGTTTTTGCATGATCTGTTTGTGCTCAGGGAGCAGCGGCGCAAGCTGGCTGCATTTGTGGGGTTTGTGGGGGGACCTGCAATGGCCTGCAGACCCATGGATATCTGTGTTCCCTGCTGGACTGCACAACCAGGAGGATGCCTGATGACCTCCTGCTCACCAGGTGTGTAGATGCAGACCCCAACTTAGGGCAGAGCCCTGCAGAGAGGTTTGAGGGGCTTCCATGGGGGAGCACGCTGCTTGCTGTCTTTCCTCCTGAGATGCACATTGCAGGAGCAGGGCTGTCTGAGCTCACCAGCACACCCATCCTGAGCTGTCCCTGCCAGTCTGGAGGCATTGCCCTGCCTCCTAGCAGCCCAGGCTGCGTCTGAGCCCCATTGTTTCCTCTATACCAGACTAACACCCTTCACAGCAGTGTGGGAAAGACAAGTCTGGAAGAAATCCAAGCCACTGGCAGATGGGGATAAGTGGTGGCACTTCGGGTCTCCCTTCCTGCCCCATCTCTTGCCAGCCTCAGCACTGTGGATAGGGCACAGTTCTGAGCCATAACCCTCTGGCATTTTAGCACCAGTGTCCCCGCAGTGCCCGGTGTCCCAGCATTGCTGGCTTCTCCCACACGATGGAGCAAAGTGCTCAGCATCTCACATGCTTGCAGCCCTGCTGAGGGCTCCGGCACGTTTCTGCTCTTTGGGGTTACCCCAAAACACAGTACGTGGCTCCATGTCACAAGGGCTTAGCAAGGAAGGACAGACATGAGCATTTGGGTCTCCAGACTGCTTTATTGGGTGGGGGGCAGATCTGGGGGGGCACGTGCAGGGGTGGCACACTGGGTTCCAGTCGCTTGTCCCAAAGGGACAGTTTGGTCACTGCATGGCTCCCACCCAGCCCTGCGCAGCAGGGCCTCGCCAGCCCTGTGTGCCCCCAGCACCCCCAGTGCCCCCCAGGTGTGAAGCAGCTGCAGATGGTAGCGGTCTCAGGGGGTGTCCAAAAAGAACCCCCAGAGTGCCAGCACTGGGGCCAAAGCAGGCTCTGTGTCCTGCCTAAAGGCTAAAGCAGCACAGGGAGGGCTGGGCTGGGGAGGACAAAAGCATCGTGGTGCCATAAATAATCCTGCTGCCCCTGTCCCCATGGGGTGCAGCAGGGAGTGGAGCAGTGCCGCCGTCCTAAAACCAGCTCACTTGGTTGGATTTGAGTCCTGTGAAGCACATGTTGTTAGAGCAGACCCCCCCATAGGTGGGTGGGCAGGCTGAGCACGGCCTCCCTATCTTGTACGGCGCTTCCCCGATCCAGTTGCCCCTGGGAAGAGAGGAGAGGAGAATGAGCATCACCCCTCGCACAGCACCAGGCACGGCCGGCTGCCCGCACCCACTTACTTGATGGCGTAGTTGCAGACGAGCAGGACGGCGCGGCGCCACGTGCTGCCCCAAACATGCATGTTGCTGCAGGCCTGCAGGGCGCAGCCCAGCCTGTTGGAGGAGGCCCACACCATCTGTGTGCGACACAGCACCGTCAGCCCCGCTGGGTATGGGAGGCAAATTCAACCAGGCCCAAACCACCCAGGTGCGGTGCCATGCCCACCCCAGCGCTGCTCAAACACCCGCTTTTCGATGTCCCTTTTCTGTGCCTGCAGCGTGCTGTGATGCACTGCCTGAGTTAAAGGAGCAGCCGAGTCTGGGTCATGTCTCCAGTTCACCGAGTTGCATCCCCAGAGCTGTCCCTGAAGCACTGCCAGCCTGGACACAGGGAGGTGAAACCCCTCCCGAGGAGACCCGAAGGAGAAAGGCCCCTCCTAAAGCCGCTGGAAGCTGAGTTTCTCCCTACAAACATGCATTTTGCACATTCGTGGCCCAGACAGCCCCGGGCACAGCTGTGCTCCAGACACTCGGGCAAACACCAGAGGGGTCGGCCCGAGGCAGGGGGGCAGCGGGAGGCTTCCAGCTCTGGCTGGAGGTGCTGTGGGATGAAGGGGGGCATTCATGGGGCCGGGCAGTGCTAAAAAGCCACTCTGTGATGCAGGAGATGATTCATGGCCAGCCAAGGCGGGAAGGGGCTGTTTGTTTTTTTTTCTCTTCACGGCCTCTGAGGTGTTAGTGGGATAATGAGGAGAAACAGAGGGAAAAATGCTCTTGGACCAATGTGCCGGGATCGATCCAAAGGGAAGCAAGATCCCAGCCCTGAGTGTGTGCAGGGAGCAGAGCTGCAGCCCCAAGTGCCATGAGGTCCCCAGGGTGCGTTTGCCCTGGGGAATCCCATCCTCTTCCACAGGACTGCAGTGCAGATGCCCACCCACTCTAATCAGGGACTCAGACCCCCTGCTTAGCGGGGAGCTAGGGCTCTCACCTGAGTGTAGTGGCTGCAGACAGAGCCGCTGCACTTGGAGGGACAGCGGGGGTTGCACTCGCGGGGATGCGGGAAGGAGTAGTGCTGCTGCTCGTGGTGCCACGACCTCACCATGTCCACCACGGAGCGGTACCTGCCATGGGAAGGCTGTGGTGTCACCAGGCATCCCATTGCATGAACACTGTGCCCGAGTCTAAAAGCTGAACTTGGGGGGACCCGGCTCCCCTCTCTTACCTGCCCGAGTGGATGGAGAGGTTCTGCCCCACATATTTCATCAGCTGGGGGGGGCCGTGCTCCCACACGCACCGTGCAGCCCATGCCTCTGCCGCCCTGGCCAGCCGCTCATCCCACACCTGGCAGGGGAAAGGGGAAGGGCGGGGGAGGTTTGGCCTTCTGGGGGGAGGCAAGAGGAGAAATCCGCTCCTTGTGTTCAGAGGGACACCAAGGAGCCGCTCCTGTTCTGCTGCTGGGACAGCTGCTTCCTTCATGCATTATTTAAAGCTTCCTCACCCATCCTGAAGTACGTGGGGAATGAGCCTCAGCCATGCCCGGGAGAGTTATTTGGCAGGCAGGCATTTAGGATGCTCTGGGTGTCTGGCACAGAGCTTGCAGGCAGGAATGCCTCTCTGTGGCTGCTGGTTGTTATTTTTGTTTTGCTTTGTTTTTAATGAGATGCTACAAGGAAAGATTCACAGGGATGTGTCCTGCTCATATCTCTCAAAAGGTCTGGATGTTAAGCTGTGGGCAGCAAATCCTTAAGGCACAGAATGGTTTTGCCCCAGCAGCACAGTGAGGAGATGAAGGAGGACAAGCTGATGGTGGAGGTGTCTCTTTCTGGAATAGGATGCTGGTGACCCTGACACTGGAGTGTATGTGTCCCTGGACCAGCAGCTGTGCCAGCTCTGTAGGCCAGGGGCACCTGAAGCACATCCCGGAGGCATGGAAGCTCCAGGAGATCTCAGGAACTCCCGGCCCCTCACGGCCCATACTAGAGGAAGGGTGGGCATGCTGGGGTGCTTCAGGCTGCAAGGAGCTGGTCCAGACCCACCCACGTGCCCGAGGGCACTGCAGTGATGCCAGCAGCTTTGCTCTCTGCTGCAGGGCCTCCCAGGACACCTGCAGACACGAGTGAGGCCAGTAGCTCCCTGCACTGCTGGGACAGTGGAAAAACCCCACTTCTAAACCTGGGGCAGGGAGATAAGGGACCCACATCTGCCCCAGCTTTAACATGGCATGCAGCGGTCACACCCAGCGTCCACTGCCACCTCTCCCCTGGGGGAAAGCTCTGGGCATGCAGTGCTCTGCCCCACACCTGCAGTGCATAATATCTCCAGGACAGGCACTGAGCCTCAGCACAACGGCACAGGCGATGCACACTCACCATGTACTCCATGTTGGCAGCGGGGGGGGACACCTGTGCCCGCACCTGGTTGTGGTAGTCCAGAATGGCATTCATGTCACGGGGGGACAGGTACCGGCGGCGGCGGCTCCGGGGCATCCCTGCACCTGCAGCTGGACCCGTCCTTGTGCTGCTAGGAGGGGACAGGAGCTCAGTGGCATTGGGCAGCACCAAGGAGCTGGACTCATGGGCCAGCCAGCAGAGCATGCTGGTGAAGCAGAGGTGCAAGTGCAGCAGTGGCATTGCAGAGTGGATCTCCCGTCCCTTCTCCTGGAGCGTGGCGCTGGAAGAGAAAACATGACCTGCACCGCTTCGCTTTGCATCGCTCATGCAAGTCCCATTGCTCCAAATAAGAACTGATAGAACTGTAGAATATTCCAGGTTGGAAGGGACCCAGAAGGATCATCAAGCCCAACTCCTATAGCTTCCTTTGTCCTTTTCAAAATAAGTGTTTTAAATGAAGCTCTGATAACCTGCAGCTCCCGTTGGCTTGGCACAGTAACACTGTGAGCAGCAGGGAGATGTCTGCGGAGTTCCTTCCCTTGTTTCTTTTAAGAGACATCAGTGCAGGATCTGTCCCAGTTTTCATCTATCCCACCTACCTGCCACACAGGGCTCCCGAGGGGCACAGTGAGAGCCTGTCCTGTCCCCCGCAACATTTGGATGGTGAGAAAACCCCCAGAACAAAACGGACAGCACAGATACAAAAAAAAACAGCAGCAACAACAACGACAAAACACTTAGCAAGTTTTAAAACAGAAAGAAATCCTACTGAGTCCCTCTCTTGGGGGAAAGAGAAATAAACCACCACAAAACCAGGATAAAAAATAAAAAGGGAAACGCTGGAATCTCCTCATCCTTCAGCCACCGCATCCCCGAGCGCTCCCGCTCTCACCCCGCATACCTGAAGCAATGAGCCGAGCGCAGCCGAGCCCGGCACCGCGAGGGGCCAACCTTTGCAAACAACCTGCACCGGACACGTGTGCCAGAGATTTAACCCAGGCGAGGCGGGCAGCCCACGGCAGCGTGACGCAGAAACTGCATCCTAACTCGTCCCCCCGGGAACGTTGCTGAGGTTTGGGGAGAGCTCTGCCGGGCGGTTTATAGCCGGCTCTCAGTGCACGCCTCTTGCACACGCAGCCGCTGCTGAGCCCCACGCGCTGCTGGAGGGAGAAGCCAGCACAGCTCTGCGCGGTGCTCCGGCAGGCAGGAAAGCTGCTTGTTTCAGTGGTGTTTGTTGTCGTTGTTGTTTGTTACGAGATATCTACAAGGAAAGATTTCCTGCGATGTGCCCCCTCGTTCCCAGCCCCCATTGGGTCTGGATGGGGAGCGATGGACAGGAAACCCCGCAGGCACAGAGGGGTTCTGCCCCGGCAGAGCAATGAGGGGACCAGGGGGGACCCTGGTGTTGTGCAAGCTGATGGCAGAAGTGTGCCTTCCTGGGGTGGGATGCTGCTCACCCTGTCACTGCGGTGCGTGTGTCCCTGCTGGCAGCTGTCCTGCACGGACCATCCTGCAGCAGCAGGTGTGTTTTCCTATAGCATCCTGAGCATTGTTCCCAAAGGCTGACAGAGTGATCACTGGCTGCCAAAGTGACTCCTCACCCCAGTGCTGGGTGGAAGTGACCCTGAGGCTGCTGCAGCCACTGGCGGCACTGAGACCACTGTGTACTGGGGGGAAGCTGCTGCTCAGGCAGGAGAAATGGGTAAGAAAAAGGTGCTTGCAGGGACCATAGTTTGGTGGCTGCTGTGCTTGTTCACAGCAACACCGGATCCCTGCAATGGGGGATGCTTCTAAGCCTTCCCAACACAGATGCACACTGCCCATAACCACAGTGGCAGAGCAGGAAGGCAAGAAGCCTGGCACAGGCTGAGCATCCCCAGCAACCACACTGTGACCCTAGGGACACGGGGGCTCGAGGAGCACCACAGCCACATGTGGAGTGGGAATAGCACCCCAGTGCAGAGGTGTGCATACCAGTGCAGCCTCCCCTTGCTCTGGGACTCTGCTGGAATATTTTCCTGCGCACAATTTTGCCCGTGCTCAAGCTTTTGTGGAATTTGCTCTCCTGTAGGGTGATATGTGCTGGAGGGATGTTCCAACCTGCACCCTGTGGAGCCAACCTCTGCATCTGACAGCAGCCAGCCTAAGAAGGGCATCAGGACTGCTTTATGGGGCGGCTTTCACAGTGATTTATTACTTTACAAAAGACAGAGCCCTGCATAGTGAATGCTCATCCAGTGCCATGGGCTGCAAAGCTGTGCATTTGAGGAAACAGCTCTTGTTTCCCTGATTTGATGTGCATTGGTGCGATGGCCTGGGGAGGTGGACCTGCTGTGCTCCTGCTGTTGTGCAGGAGCTCAACTGCAAGCAGCCCTGCTTGGGGACAACAGGGGGTTTGCCCTGAGAGCAGAGAGAAAGTGCTGCTTAATCAGCACTCTGCGAGACAATCCGAATTCCAGGAACTGGAGGGGTTTGTGTCCCTGCCAGGCGTAATATCCTGCAGCCCAGACTGGCCTGGCTGCCAAAGCACACGGCATCTGTGGAGAGCAGTGTGCGGGGAGCCAAGAAGCACACGCATTCAGCTGGAGGCAGCAGCAGTGCCGGCGAACTCGTTTTAATGTGCATCAAGGGAAAGAAAAGAGATAAATCACTGGGTTTGCTGTCTCGGCAAGGATGCGCACCGGCGATTTTAGGGCTGATGTGCATAGCAGGGCTCCTCAGGCGTCCGTGTGTCCAAGGGCTGTGGCTGTGGGAATCCTCCAGCAGCCACATGTAAAGGTAGCAGTGGGGCCATCTTCATGCAGGACGGAGGGGGGTGAGGCTGAGGCTGAGACCTGCCTGGCACCCCTGGGCTAAGAGAAGGACAATGCAGGGAAGTGGTTCTGCTCTTCACCAGGTGCAGCAAAGCAAGGCTGCCCTGGTGCTGACCGTGGCAGGACAGGAAGGAGGATTTTGACAGCTTTGTGCATTGTCAGAGCCATGCACTGGTCAAACACATCAGTAGCCAGCTTCTTCATCCTGAATCGTGAAAGGGGGTTTTCCTTCTGACTTAGAGGTCGGAATATTTGATATATTCATATTTTACATGATAAGAAAACCCAAGCTGACTTCTCACACTTTTATTTGCAAACTTTAGAAGGGAACACACAGCTAAACTGTCACCTAAGTGTTTTCTTCAGGACTGACATTTTAAAAATGACTCCTCCAAAGCATTCCTATTGTCATTTCCTCTGGCAGGGAGATGTCAGCATTCTGGTAATGCCCAGACCATGCTCCTCAGCTCCAGGCTTTCATGAAGCCAAGATTTCACACTGAATTGGTCAGTGTGCCCCCTACCCAAGACAGAGACAGATCCCAAAGCCTTAGGACTTCAAAACTGTCCTTATGGTTAATTAGGAGCATCCCCTTGGAATGTTGGGTCCTTTTGAACCGGGCTGAACCCTGAAGGAGAGATGCAGAAGGCAACAATCCACCTGTGGAGTGAATTCCCAGCTGCCCTTCATGGCCAGAACACAGGCACATCACACTGGGATGAGCTTCCCCCTGGCAGGTGAGGGAAAGGCTGTTCACGTAGTCTACCTGGACTTCAGCAAATTTTTGATACTGTCTCCCACAGCATTCTCCTGGGGAAGCTGGTAGCCCATGCCTGGCACAGATACATTCTTTGCTGGGTAGAAAACTGGCTGGAGGAATGAGCCCAGAGAGTGGTGGTGAATGGAGTTAAATCCAACAGGTGACTGGTCACCAGTGGTGTTCCCCAAGGAACCGGCCCTGTTTAATATCTCTATTGATGATCTGGGTGAGGGAATTGAGTGTACCTTCAGTAAAGAGGTGCAGATGGCACTGAGAGGGGGAAGCGTTGATCCACCTGAAGGCCCCACAGAGGGACCTGGGCAGGCTGCTCACCTGGCTGAGGCAATGGGATGAAGTTCAACAAGACCATGTGTTGGGTCCTGCGCTTTGGTCACAACAACCCCACACGTTGCTACAGCCTTGGGGCAGGGTGGCTGGAAAACTGTGTGGAAGAAATGGAGCTGGGGGTGTTGGTCGACGCTCGGCTGAACGTGAGCCAGCAGTGTGCCAGGGTGGCCAAGAAGACCAACAGCATCCCGGTGTGCATCAGAAAGAGCGCAGCCAGCAGGACGGGGAGGTGATCATCGCTGTGCTCAGCTCTGGTGGGGCCGCACCTCGAGTGCTGTGCTCAGCTGTGGGCCCTCACTGCCACGCAGACATCGGGGCCTGGAGCGCGTCCAGAGAGGGGCAACGGGGCTGTGAGGGGTCTGGGCACAGTGGGGACTTATGGGGAGCAGCTGAGGGAACTGGGATGGTTCAGTCTGGAGAAAAGGAGGCTCAGGGGAGACCTTATTGCTGTCTGCAGCTCCCTGAAGGAGGTTGTGTGAGGTGGGGGTTGGCCTCTGCTCCCAGGTAACAGCAACAGAAGGAGAGGTGATGGCTTTAAGTTGTGCCAGGGAAGGCTGAGGTTGGGAATTGGGAAAAACTTCTCAGGAAGAGTGGTGATGCAGTGGCACAGCTGCCCAGGGAGGTGGTGGAGTCAACATGACTGGAGGTGTCCCAGTGCCCTCCATCAAAGCGTACACCCTTAGGCTAACAGGATCTGAAGTGATCTCTTCCCTAAATAGGGAGGTTACAGAAACCACCTCTCCCAGTGTGCCTGGAGCCAAGGTCCCCCTATGCCACGAGGATGGAGCTGGGGAGCTCTGCCAGCCCCAGGGAATAATTGGGCCCTTTGAAAGGTGAGAAATGTTTCCGCAGGCTCTAGAAATAAATGTCTCTGAAGTTGAACACTGTGGACGGTAGTTTCTTGCAAAGGTGTAGTTTACTGTAACTGGGCTAAGTTTAGAAATCCACTCACCAGACCGTGTGGACGCTGCTCTCAGCACCACTCAAAAGATAGTTAATTTGCTGTGGATGCCATCAGTCTTGCAAACACAACAGGCGGTATTTCTGTGCAACGTTTCACAGTGCCTGTTGCCTGGTGTCTGCGTGCTCAGCTGTTGGGCTCAGTGGTAGGAAACACATCGGTCCTTTTGTGTAGCCACAATATTCAGCCTCTGTCCCATGATGCTGGTCAAGAGTCCTGGTGGGAGCTCCCCATCTCTTGCCAATATTGGACCTCCACAGCATGACCATTTTCTGCTGTTTTCCCCTCAGTATCTGGTGGCCATGCCACAGCACGGTGTGCATCCCCAGCCCACTGCCTGCAGCTGCTGCACCAATGCTGGGCATGGAAGCATGGGTTGAGCAGCAGCTCCTAGTGCCAGCAGTGCTGCTGTTGGGGGCTACAGCGACACAGCCCCCAAGGCCCACACCCGGTGAATTCAGGACACCCTGGCAGCCTCACTGTGTAATTTTCTTGCTTGGACAGGTGTATGCCACAGCTTGATTGAAGCCCCTGTGTACTCAGCTTGTGCAATTTTTTCTTTCCAAGACCAAAATTAAGATAGAAATGGAGCACCTGGCACTGGCTCACAGGCGCATTTCATGGGACTGCACAGGGAAATCTGTTCCTGTTGCTCCTCTGCTGTGTTGTCCCTGTGCCCTGGTGGCCCCTGCACCCACCGCCACTGCCCATACACTGAGACCAAGCTGCTACCAGGGCAGTGGGATCGCTGTGGTACCTGCCTGCTTCTGGCACTGAAGATGAACCCCCTCCCAGCTATTTTTGCTCACTTTTACTGTACCTGAGCACCTAGAGGCTCCCTGGCTTGTGCCAGCAGGATGGGTGCAGCATGACGGCCACCTGCTATTGCCAGCCCTCCACTCTCCCATAAAGATTGACTGTGAATCTTTGCCAAGAAATCTCCCTTTTCTCATGGGGCTTCCAAGCTTTCCCACGTCCAGATGGTTGGAGCTGAGCCATCAGATTTCTGCCTGCCTAGACAAGAGATTTCTCAGGTTCAACTGCAGAGGCGTAGAT